CCATGTAAAAAATAATTATCTTATTCTGAATCGCGGTAATTATTCGTGCTTGAAGTAAAAGGGCGGCGAAGTGTAGAGAGTATGCCTAAACAATAGGCGAATATTTTTCAAATTAGGTACTTTTTAACTAAGCGTTGCAGCGTTCTATCAGCATATTTTCATATAATAATACTTTAGCGACACAAAATAATACTTTATCAATACATTCATATGTGTATAATTTTTCACAAAGCTGCAATAACACCACATACACCGGTGACAATCTGTCATATTTCGTACTCCGCACGTTCCGCCATCTCATTCTGTCCACCTTTATCCGATTCCGCGCATGCGCGCGACGGGACTTTAAGCTAAACGAAAGTGTCCGATCCTTGTAATATAAATCCGTGCTAGGCCTAAGGGTTCTTTCGTTATTGATCGGAAACCGTTTTTACCTACAAGGTCAATGTGACCTTGACCTTTGATCCCTTAACCCCAAAATCAATAGGGGTCATCTGCTGGTCATAACCAATCACCATACCAAGTTTGAAGTTCCTAGGCCTAAGGGTTCTTTTGTTATTGATCAGAAACCGTTTTTACCCAAGAGGTCAATGTGACCTTGACCCTTGACACCAAAATCAATAGGGGTCATCTACTGATCATGACCAATCACCATATCAAGTTTGAAGACCCTAGGCCTAAGGGTTCTTTCGTTATTGATCGGAAACCGTTTTTACCTACAAGGTCAATGTGACCTTGACCTTTGACCCCTTGACACCAAAATCAATAGGGGTCATCTACTGATCGTGACCAATCACCATATCAAGTTTGAAGTTCCTAGACCTAAGGGTTCTTAAGTTATTGATCGGAAACCGTTTTTACCTAAGAGGTCAATGTGACCTTGACCTTTGACCCCTTGACACCAAAATCAATAGGGGTCATCTACTGATCGTGACCAATCACCATATCAAGTTTGAAGTCCCTAGGCCTAAGGGTTCTTTCGTTATTGATCAGAAACCGTTTTTACCTACAAGGTCAATGTGACCTTGACTTTTGACCCCTTAACCCCAAAATCAATAGGGGTCATCTGCTGGTCATAACCAATCACCATACCAAGTTTGAAGTTCCTAGGCCTAATGGTTCTTTTGTTATTGATCAGAAACCGTTTTTACCCAAGAGGTCAATGTGACCTTGACCCTCGACCCCAAAATCAATAGGGGTCATCTACTGATCATGACCAATCACCATATCAAGTTTGAAGTCCCTAGGCCTAAGGGTTCTTTCGTTATTGATCGGAAACCGTTTTTACCTACAAGGTCAATGTGACCTTGACCTTTGACCCCTTAACCCCAAAATCAATAGGGGTCATCTGCTGATCATAACCAATCACCATACCAAGTTTGAAGTTCCTAGGCCTAAGGGTTCTTTTGTTTTTGATCAGAAACCGTATTTACCCAAGAGGTCAATGTGACTTTGACCTTTGACCCCTTGATCCCAAAATCAATAGGGGACATCTACTGATCATGACCAATCACCATACCAAGTTTTAAGTTCCTTGGCCTTAAAGTTCTTTAGTTATTGATCAGAAACCGTTTTACCTACAAGGTCAATGTGACCTTGACCTTTGACCCCGTAACCCCAAAATCAATAGGGGTCATCTGCTGGTCATAACCAATCACCATACCAAGTTTGAAGTTCCCAGGCCTAAGGGTTCTTTTGTTATTGATCAGAAACCGTTTTTACCAAAGAGGTCAATGTGACCTTGACCTTTGACCCTTGACCCCAAAATCAATAGGGGTCATCTACTGATCATGACCAATCACCATACCAAGTTTGAAGTTCCTAGGCCTTAAAGTTCTTTAGTTATTGATCGGAAACCGTTTTTGCTTACAAGGTCAATGTGACCTTGACCTTTGACCCCGTGACCCCAAAATCAATAGGGGTCATCTACTCGTCATGACCAATTACCATACCAAGTTTGAAGTTCCTATGCCTAAGGGTTCTTTAGTTATCACTCGGAAACCATTTGGTCTACGGACCGACGGACCGACAAGTGCCAAGCAATATACCCCCTTTTCTTCGAAATGGGGGCATAATAATAATAAAAATAAAAGTAATAAAAATATTTATAATTATAATAATAATAATTATTATTATTATCATTATCATTAAAAGTATTATCATTATCATTATTACTATCATTATCTTTATTACTATCATTATTATTATTATTATTATTATTATTATTATTATTATTATTATTATGCTATTAATTTTGTGAAGAATAGAATGATAAGAGCAATAAGAACTTAGATAAGATATATTAGAGGTTTCTATTTTATCACAATTTACCTCACATTTAGTGCGACTTCCTTCAGGTAACGCAGCAAACATCCAAAACATCAAAAGTAATAAAATACATATACATGTATAACGTGAGAGTTTATGATTTACATGATAAACCTTTCTACGATATATACACTATAAACCCGCTAATGAGACCACTAAAGGCACTTTGCAAATCTGGTCTTATTAGCGGGTTGGTCTCGAGTTTGGTCAAACAGATAACCAGGCAATACCTTAGAGGATAACATTTACTGTACATGTTAATTTCTGGGTTAAGTACAGCTCAAATAGACTTTAATAGACGTTCTGTTTTAATTGTTTGCACGCACTGACATTAGTTTGTTATAAAGAAAAAAGATCGATTTATGTTAAAAATCGTAGAGAGTTTTCAAAAAAGCTTTACAAGCTTCCTACTCAATCCGTAAATTTTATTTTATGTAATTTATTATGTAAATGTGTGGATTATCAATAAAATATTGTTTAAACTAAAAATCGTCCTCTCACGGCTCGGTCAAGCGATGTCCGACCTAGACAAAAAAAATTGTTTCGCTTTAATATTCCATCTTTTGTCGTACCAATTGGTCTAATAGAAAGATAAATCATTTCTGTACATTTTTTCGCAATATAATCATTTCTGCGTTTGGTGAAAATAGGTTGACAACTAACAAAGATTTGAGAGGTAAAATCAGGCCTGGTGGTATGTCCGCTGGCGAAGCTTTCTAACTTTACTATATTTTATAGTATTTATCGATGAAAATTTTAAACAACTTTCCTTTGTTGTTTAATTGAAAATAAGATATTTTAAAAACATTTTGAGTGGAAAATATTTTACTAGTGAAATAAAAATTATTTATAAAAATAAGTGTTCGCTCAACAGGAAATATAGCTGGTCCTTTAGCAGTTGTTTGAAACAGCACAACAACCCAGAGGAGAAGCGGTGACTTTTCAAGGCCATTGCATCTGCTGTTTTCCCCTGTTAATGGAATAAATAGCAATTTGAAGGAAGTTATATTTCATTGTAAGTTATTCTAACTATGTAAACTGTTTCTTTTTGTCGTGTTTTCTTGCATAGCACTCAAAGGTTGGATACTACGTCATTGCACACCTGCTGAAGGCTTCCACTAGGACCATTTCTCCGGATAATCTGTCGGCTCGAAGGTAAAATACAATTTTGTTATAAGAAAACGTAACAGTATCAAAAAATCATGTAGCGCACCAAAGAATGGTTATAGTACTTGAGATAATTGTAAAAAAAGTTTATAGAGTGGGAGCGTTCCGCAGGTGTGCGATGATGAAGTATCCTACCATTGAGACTGGCGTTTCTGTGAGTTTAACCAATGCCGCAAATTTCATCTGGCACCGGAGTGCCAGACGAGTCGCATGCCATAACCTAATGGCATTTTAGCGCAGTTTATGAATAAATTGTGTTTTTAAAAATAACGTCATTTCGGCGCATTTAAGAAGAGAACAACGACATATTGCAGTTGTTATTAAAGTTGTAAATTTATACGATATTGTAAGAAAATAGTTATGGATGAAATGACAATAATTTCCATGAACAAATATCTTATTGAGGTAACCCATTTTAAATATGATAGAATATGCGAGAAAATTATCTGACATTATGTTTGCGGTTCGGATTGGCCATTCTGTTCGCTTACAGACCCCATAACAAGTAGAGAAACTGATAGGGAACATCATGGATCCTGATTAGACTGCACGGTTGCGCAGGCTGATCTGGATACATGCTGGTCGCAAACCCATTATTTTGGTTTTGTCGAGACACGGCTCAAATTTATTATTTTATATATATTAAATTTATAATATTATCATTTCAGCACGACTTTCAACGTTTTTATTGATATTACTGATAGCGAAATCAATATGAAACTTGTTGCTACCTATGGCGCGCAAAGCTTGAAATAATGTTTTTTATTATTAAGCATAGCATGTTCAGTATACATGTGGCAAGATCTTTCTTACACTTCGTAAGTAAATACAGGTTTTTTTTGTACGTAAACAGAAACAAATAAATTGGTGGTATTCAACCTATCGTCGGAGTTGGAATTCTCCAAACTCCTCTCTACTCGCAAAGGGGGGGGGGGGGCTTCTCCGATGTAGTTTGAGTCATTTGATTGGCTTACGTCTTATAGCGAAGAGATGGGAGACAACTGCGTAGGAGTTTGGTTTGGAAATTCCCGTTCGCCATTTTATTAATCTCTAATAACAGTTGTTGTTCTGTTTACGTGCTTGTTCATCAAAATGGATATGTAAAAGTAACTTTTTACATTGATCATCTTAACTATAGTTATTATCATTTGTAAGTTTCATTAATTTCTGATTTTTTACATAATTATCCGACTGGAAGTGTTATTTGACACAGAAGAGTGCGTCTTCCTGTTATAGTCTGCATCATGTAGACGCTCAAAAGTGCAATGATATCTATATTCAGCTTAAAAAGATTTTAAAATGACGGAAAGGGTTTCAATATGGCGGCGCCCTGTTAACTCCGACCCGTTACATAATTATATATTTTTATTGATTTTAATGCGATTTCAATTTAATTCAAGCACCTCAAACATGTTATCTTCGAGCCCTACAACCCTCGCGGTGCCTGCGGCCCCGCCCATGCCTTCAAGGGCAACCCTTTCGCAAACACTAGGAAATAAGACACATGCTTTGAAAATGATTTATTTACCAACAGAAATGACAGTAGAAAAAGAATTATACTATTATCATGATTTATCTCGAATGAATAAAGTTTCCCGGTCATTTTATCACATATATCTTGAACTGAGACAAAACGTCTTTTTAAAAATAAAAACTTGTGAAATTTATGTTATTTGCATAGATCGATTTCAGTTGACATCAAAAGTTTGCTTTTTTGATAAACTTTCTTGAAATGTTTGAGCGAAATTCATTTGCACTTTATAAAACATTGACGTGTTCATTGCACTGAAAGGAATTTTAAAACAAAAAAAGATTGGTTAAGATAATATTACAGAATATTAGTAAGAAAGTGATAATGAAATAACGTTATCATAGACGGGCTGTATTTCTACACGTCGTACGCTTCTATACACGCAGCTTAGGACAAACGCCAACCAGAAAAGGTTGTACGTGTCATTGTGTCGCTTTTAACCCGACACCCAGCGCCCTGTCCAAATCTGATGAAAACGTGGTCACCATGATTGACATTTACCACAGCAAACCCTGTCGCTGGATGGATTCCACTTCCGTGTCCGTTTATATCAGCGTCGGTCATGCTATATCCCTTAATGAAGCCGTTCACTATTAGTTGCGACACAAACCAGGTTTTCTTTTCGGCGGCAACGGTCCATGTGAAGGCGTAGAGTCCCCCTCTAGGAACAATATACCCACCGGTATGGACACTGTATCTGTTTCCAACATTTACCGGTGCCTTGTCAAATATGATAGTTTGGGCTGTTTGATAACATCGAGTAAAACTTTGATAGGCGTGGAAGGCTGAAATATAAATATTCTATATATTTTGACACTAATGACATGCCCATGATTCATATGCCGAGAAATATAAGGGTGATCTTAAATGAGCAATTAGTTCAGAGTCGTCAAAAACAGTTTTTCACACAAGCCGATAACCAGTTGCACACCTTTGCCCAAGCATATATGACATACATTTTCAATACATTTCTCCTAAAAATAAAGACTGACATCAATTTATGTTAACCTCCATACGCCAGAAATCAAACCTGAAATATACTAAAATGGGTCATCTTTAAGACACTCAAGAATTCTTCCAATTCATTTGAAACTATCACAAACAATGCAATCAATGACATTTTCAAAAATGCCAAATTATGTGTCATGCGTTTAGACTATCCAAAGTTTGTTACTTGTTTGGCCTCAACTGTCAATGCTTGATTTTCAACCTCCATTCGGAGAATCATTGATACATAAACGCTACCAAAATGCTTAGTTTCAGGAAAATACCCAACAATACCTATCATTTCCTACACACAGACAAGAAAGAAATACAATGACAGATGAAAGGTACCTTCAAATCACATTGTGTTATTAATAAATTTGACCGGGCCATAGTTTTTGAATTTCTTTTCTGTCGTTTTGCCATCAATAGAGGCAGACCAGCTTACCTTTGCCACTAAGTATATATTAGTGTTCATCCGTGCTTATCCGAAGACTGACGGAAAGGACCGAAAAGTTGCGATTGCCTTAATACAGGCAGACCAGTTTTCACATTCGTACAGTATAATCAGGTTCCATACGTTCGGCTAACTAACATAAATAAATCTTGTCAAAATGGTGACTGGAAGTCTTAAAAATTGAAGCACGGAAAGTTCTAAAACTTAAAGCCTGAAGAGTCCCGTGATTGGAGCCAGGAAAGTCCATTTAAAGAGTTTATTTTATGGGTAGCATAAAACACTATGTCAAAATTATTTCCCGGTGAACTGCATTGTTATAAAAATAATGGACTAAATTATTTAAGATATAATTAAAAAGAAATCTTCATACTCCCAAACCCCTTCAGCGGAATGGAGGCTTCCTGTGTTTCTCCTTCACTCTGTGAAAATTCATCATCCGGTATCACATTATCGACTTCTCCAGACAAACCGCCGGTTCCTGTTATCAAGCTCCTGAAAAACTCTGAACTCCGGTTTGCATTACTGCTCTCTGGTAGTGACGCACAGAGCGTTCCTTGTAGCAATAGTAACAAGCAGCAAACTATCTTCAACATTGTGATGTAATTTTATTTCCTGGAACAAAAACATTAGATTGATTTTATTTTTCTTAAAGTTGATTGAGAAGGCAATAGGTTTTTTATATTATGATTTTATAAACAGTTTCCGATTTTTTACATTTTATAATCGCTGTTTTATTTACTTGCAGAAGTCTGAAGTATAAATAACAGCAGTTAGTTTTTTTAATGAGTGTTACAAACAAGTAGTGTCATGATATACGGTATGGATATAGCACTGATAGCATATTTCTTTAGATAGATCTATGTGAACAAAGCAAGAACGTATCCCGATTTCCTTTTTTCTGTTTCCAATTACATTGTATATACATAACATAAATGTGTATCTCTACTGGGGTTCTTGTTTATTTGAGGGCGTTGGTGGGGCATTGAAGCTTATTCTTGGAAAATGTAATAAAACAAAATAAATAAGTAAACCTGAAGTCCTACCGGTATTAAAAAGACGAAGCTTTCCAAATATATGAGGTCTTTATCAGTTAGGGTAAATGACACTTAGGTATTCAGTGTATGGACGCTACCGAATATGTGTATTCATTTGCAATAAAATGTTCAACATTTAATAAAAACAATCAAAACATCATTCGCAGTATAAATGCTATTTAACATTGACTCATTAAAACAAAATCGTCTCATAACAATGTTGAGGTTATAAAAAAACGAAGGGGGAACCAATTTTTTGTAGTGCATTTTCTTACGACAGAGGTCGCTGTTTAAAACTAACCGATCCCTTTCGGTGCGGACGTAAAAATCACCTCATGAAAAAGATCCGATCAAACATCGTGATACCCTGATTTGAAAAAACCTGTTAATAGCTCTATATACAACAACAACGAACATGTGCTCTCTTGCATAATGCGCAACATATCATTTTTATTTTTTAAATCAACACATTTTTGAAGATCTTTCAGAAAAGGTATGCATGTGGCATACTGTATGCGGCGGACTTTGAGATATTTTATATACACTATGGTATGGGGCAGTTAAAAACTTGGAAACTGCGAAACAAGTTCGACTTCATAAATTTTAAAACCTCGTAAAATTGTAAATACATATACAAGTTATTATAATGATGGACATGAAGTCTGACCATTTCTATTTTTATCTTGACATCCCTTTTTGTGATACATGTACATTTAATAGGCATTTCAAAACTAGAGGCTGGGCGAGTCTACTTAAGTAATTCAGCAGGGTAAGGACTTACAATTAATCGAACACAAAGTGACATAAAATTATGTTAAGTTTAAACGGAAAAGCCTACGAAACGGAAGACTATCCTTGCATTGCATCAAGGATATTTTTCTAAGTAGAGAGTTGCGGTTTTTGGTTAATTGATGGGCTTAATTGTTTATAACCTAGGTGAATTACCAATTTCCGTGATAATTGTTGTCATTTGCATAGATAACAATTGAAGGTCGATTATTCACTTAATAACAAATTGTAAGGCAATCATTACTGTTTTACTCAAGGTCGTTTTTAACAGTTTCGTCTGGTTAACTGAATATTTCAAAGTGCAGGATGATAACAATGAAAACATTAATTTGTAAACTTGAGTTTATATATTGTAGTTTGGTGTCTGTTTGTGTTTGAGGGGCGGGGGTGTTAGGTTGTGCGGTTAGTTTACAGTCGTCGTTGATTAAGAGAAATAAATTAAAATATCAATAATAGTATAAAAGTTCATTTACAAAGAACAATGATGTGATTAATATTTTCGAGTGCATTGTCGGTGATTTAGATATAAACATAATTTGAATGTATCATTATATTGCTACAATGTGTTATTTGCCTTTTTAGAAACACTTGACCTCGACTAATGAAAATCTGCCAATCACAATTATCACTATCAGCACTGTTCTCTTCATGAAAAAAGCGGACACACTAACAACTGCCTAGTATAGATTGTTACGAAGAAGAAAGTCATGAGCGGGAAATTATACACAGAATCGCCGCTCTGGTATCAAAGACGATTCTTGAATATCAGCCAGGATTATTTTACTTACACTGGTGCTCAAACACCTGTCTTAAAGCCTATGTAAGACACGACGCGTGCTTTAATGACGTCATTCCAATGCGCCTTTTATAAATGAACTTCGTTCTAAGAATGACGCCGTTGTGCAGGTATGCATGACGGTGTAAATACTTACTGTACTCTGCTATAAGAAAAAAGTGATAATTGAAAATATTAGTTTTCGTATTATCATCATAATATGCAAGAAAAAGAATCCAACACAGGCTTTCGTCACAGATAGGAATATCAAGCCTTGGGTAACTGTTTACTGGAAACTTGACATCTGTAGCCACGTTACCGCCGTGAACAGGTACCCTCGATTTAGATATCCAAAGATTCTTATATGACGTCACAACTTAGTTAATAAATAATTTAAATATATATGGCCTATTAGTACGATAAGGATTAGCCGCGTTTGGTGTAGTGGTTAGCATATTAGACCGGGAATTCAGAGGCCCGTGGTACGATTTTTCGTGGGTTTTGTCTGTAGATGTAATGATTATGTAATGATTATTTTACCGGTTGAAGAAGGATAATACATGGTTTTCAATTAAAAGGAAAACGACTTTCTTTAAATAATTAGATCTACGAAAACTTTAACCATTAATTTTTAATAATGCAGTAATGATTTTAAGCGCTATGAAATATGAGTACAAACCATAACATCCAAGGACACTCATGCCAGGTTGAACACCTTCCACTTCCGATTCAGAAATAACAACAAATACCATAATCGAAGCACAGAAAGCGCTGAATTGTTTGGTCTTAGAATGTCAGAAAGGTGAAAGTTGTGAGATTACAAACCTATTTTTTTGTATAGTGTCAGCAATGATGTTTCCAGTGTTATAGCTGTAGTAAATTGGCAATAAGGCTAATTGCAACACTGATATTTAATTCAATGTACATTTGGCTCAAACGGTTTAAAAAAAAAAAAATAAAATGGTTGCCTAATCTGGGATTTTAACCCCAGACCCCTCGCTTCTTAAGGGAGTGTGTAACACCTGGACCACGAAGAAGTTATAATAAGTCGGCCTGAAGCAAACCATATTATTCTAAATTAGGGTTTGTAATCATTATTAATTTCCGCGATATTTTGTTCACGGTAAACCTGTTGCTAAGCACTGATGCCAATAACCATGTTCCTGTCCTAGAGTCAACATTTTTACTTTACTTTTCAGAAAGGGCTGGGAATCAAAACTGCGTCGTATCCTACAAAATGTAAACAAACGCCGCCATCTTGGAACGAAAAATGTATGTTTTTGTTTATAACTCTTTTTGTTGGAAATGACTGAAAAACAGATATATGTATTAACACGCTACACTGTTTTCCGCTTCGTTCGGTATATATTGCTTGCACAACTATTTTCTAAAGCAAAAGTTATAGCGAACTTGCAACTCGAAGTGGAGCAGAATTTTTATGAAAATGTGTGGATACGACGCAGTTCATATTGCTTTATCTATCGTTTTTTCCTTCAAATCAATTATATACTCGTTTTTAGAGTTCACCATTAACTTCAAAATATAATTTTGCATCATTTATTTAATTTTCATTAAAAAGAGTTGTTTTTTTCCAAGAAAATAATGATTTTTACGAAATGATACGACGCAGTTGAAAATAAAATATGATACGACGCAGTTGTATTTTCATTGCAGGCTGCATATTGGTTAAACTATATTTAAATTATGTGCTAGGTATACTACTCGTATAACGTCCAACAACATTTCTTGTTTACAACTTAAGTCAAAAGCAGAGGTCACTCATTGGTTCCATAAAAATGGAAATGTAATACAATTCTATTAAGGCTGCATTTTTCGGTCGCATTTACGTACCTATCATAAGCATCTACAAATTCCGAAAAGCTGTATCAAATGCAATATATACATTGAAACACGTGATTGCACACCCATATTATGACAACCTGTTCCAGTGTTGCCTCAGCATGCTTCTAAAATTGTTCCCGAGAGTTCGAAATGGGAGTGATTACTATTTTTGATACAAAATTCAATATTCAATAGTCATTAAAAAAAATCAAGAAAAACACAAACTTACGATTGAGCGCCGGATTAGTTTTGGCATGCTGATATATTCATATTTTATTCATTTTAATTTAAAAAAGGGAAGTTTGTTTGTGCACATACACAGAATAGATCACATGCCGCCAAAACAGGAACCAACCCCGGGTGTAACAAAAACAGGTAATAGAAAAATATGTGTAAATAAATACTTTAAAATGAATTTTTATTCTTAACCGTATAATAACATTGTAATACCCTGATCCGATCTGAAAACAAATTCAGACAAATATCACTACACCGACCATCTTTGTAAAGATATGGAAACTAAGATCAATCACCTAGTAGGGATTCACTGAACGCTTCTTTTTTTGCATCCCCTTACATTCCATTGAGATACTTTCTCCATCTTTCATAATATATTATTGTTTCAATAAAGTAATGTAACATGTCGAGTGAGCCACAGAAATAGCTAGTCAATTTGTAATTAAGTACTTTGATTTTATTTGCATTTTATAACTTTAATGTGATATACACTCTAGGAGAAGATGTTTTAGCCACAACGGCACGAATTTTAACAGTCAGAGTCAAATTCCGCATATGCCTTGCATACAAAGATAAACCAAACCAGACACAAAGTTGACCATTAGCTTATAAAAAATCTATTGAAAAATTACAATAAAGAGAAAAACTCACATTACCTTCAAGATTATGGATGTTGTCTTCTGCTCGATGGTTGCCGTAAATTTAAGCTGAAAATCGCCACGTATATATATGTTTTTGTATGGCACGTAGGAGTAATCATACTTATCTAAAGCCCCGGTCACATATTCACGGATATGCCACGGAAGAGCTACGGTCTAATCGTTCACGGATTACTACGGAAATGTGAAATTCCGTAGTCCGCTACGGTTCCAGTACGGACACACAACGGTATAAGTCCGGAGTCCGACGGATTTACCACCAAAATCCCCCGGAGAGACACGGATTGTTACGGACCGACACGGTTTGATGCGGAGCGACACGAATTAGGACGGACGCACTACGGATACACTACGGTCTGCTACGGTATAAGCACGGGTTAGTACGAATAAGTACGGTCTGATACGGAGAAGAACGAATTGCCACGGATCTATACGGACCACAATCTCTTGCATAAATGCCCCACAAGAAAAGAACACCTGGAAAACGAATTGCAGAGTTTAATGATTTCGGCGGAGAGGATTCGGCCTGATCGCGTCTGACCCCCGAGACACATCAGGTCCGATAAAAGTGAATTTCTTGAAGGGTCGCTGGGTCCTCAACAAGTTCGGCCATGAGAGCCTCATACTAAACATGAAGGGGTCTTCGTAAAAGCCCATCTCCAGTCCACCATCTTGCCTGTCCTCTCTTACCTGATTAGATATGGACTAGTAATCATTAAAAAAAAGTGTTATCAAAACTGCTTCTCTTTTAATTTTAAAATGTGCCGTTTTTTTTTACAATAATATTATTATCGTGAATGTTTATGTTTTAAAAAATATGTAAAAGCTTATTAATTAATCTTCTTATAACTCAAGGGTCAGTGTCCAAGGCTTATGGAGACACTTCGTTTTATGTACATATTTACTCAATTTCACGATCAATGTTTGTAAAATGTGTAACATTAAATGTTATTACTCTATTACTTAAGAATTGTAGTACGATATTAATATATTTTACCTCTATGCATGTCATCTAGCAGCTCGACCACTGCCTGCGCATTCTGAGCCATTTCAATATAAAATTGCAGCCAGTAAATGGCAATTATCATTTATTGAATGTTCCCGCAAATATGTCTGTTTTTAACAAGAAGGTAGTACCCTTGGAAAATACATGATACTAAATTCATCCGTTCGAAACAGTGGTGGACCGTACAAGTCCGTGTTGCAACGCAATAAACCGTATAAGACCGTGCTAATCCCTGCTTCTCCGTAGTAAAACGTATTACGATCGTGGCTTTCCGTATTAATCCGTATTAAAACCGTAGCTTAAACGTAGGTTATCCGTACCAAACCGTGGAAATCCTTGACAAGTTGGTGGGCTACGAATCAGTACGGACTAGTACGGTTTTCGAACGGACCAGTAAGTATCGGTACGTTTTAATACGGACTAGCAGGGATACGCTACGGTTGATTTTTCCGTAGCAAATTTTTGTGCATGTTCAAAAATTGTCAAGGATCGCTACGGATATACCAGGACTACTACGATTGATTACGGTTACAATACGGAGAGCTACTGACCAGTACGGGTAGCTACGGACGATGCCGGAATTAATCCGTGGCTCTTCCGTGGGCGTATTCCGTGAATATGTGACCGGGGTATAACTGCAATATGAACAGGAAAAATATCATTTCGTAAGCCTTATCAGCTCGTGCAAAATTCAGTTGCACTTTATCGTCTTACGTCATACGTATAAGCAATTAAATAAAACAATTGAACAAACACAAATGCTTTCTTGAGATAATGGGTCGTGGTCATCAAATTTTCACTGATTTTAAATTTTCAAGTATCATTTGCGTCACCTGTATCATTTAAACATAAAATCAAGTTGATTTTCAGTATTTACGGATAAAATTGTTGGCAAATATATTTATCTATTAACGTAACAGGAAACTAGCATAGACACCAATTCGATACAACTGCTTGCAATCTAATACATTGATGTCCTTGGATAACGAATTCACAATTTCAAGGGATGACGAGCTCCTTACCCGAAGACTGACGAAAATGGCCGAAAGGTTGCAAAGTTTGGAGAAGCTGGGGATCGAACTCACGATTCTTGCATATGTAGTCCAAAGTGTTACCACGTCCGCTGAATTCTATTAGTCAACTTAATTTATACACTCTTTTTTGGCCGTACATAATTACTTAAGTCGCATTGACTTCCGATAAATGATGATTGCAAATAACTCGAACAAAGAACAAGCCCTTTTTTACCTAACAGCAGTTTACACAGTTTACTAAGACCGACCATCTGTTTTTAATATATACTTTTGGTTTATTCTAGGAAGGGAGAAAATTAAACAGTTGATTTCATAAGTTACTATTATTTTATACGGAGTTTCAGGGAAATTAACTATCAATATACGTATTTAACGTATTATACTTTCTAAAATAGGACCATCGGCAGTTTACCTTTTTTATGTTACAATGATTAAAGTATCACCTTATGGGAAGTAAGAAACATGTCAATTTTATTTGACGGCCTGGACTATTCCAAAATATAAAATGACAGTAAATGTTATACTGTGAATAGTTTCGCCTTAAAATAAGATTTAACAAACAAATTCAAGATTTCATTGTTTGGATAAACTTTGTCGTGTCATAAATTGTTTAACATAACTTAATCCTATACTGTAACTATGAAAAATGCTAAAACGTAACAGTTTGAACATAAACAAAGCACGATGTAAAGGTTATTGAATAAACTCACAAAAATAGTGCCAACGTCAATATTTAACATTTCATGAGATTTTTACTGCATCACAAAGTTTTTTGAGATAAAACGTCTTGTATTTTTAAAAAGCTTTTTGCTTTTTTTGCTTTGAGACCAAACAATTCTCTCACTCCCCCCCACCCACACACACGCACACACACACGCACGCACGCAACCGCGCGCGCAATCACACGCATACACAGACGGATTTCGATTTGCATTCCTGCCTTTTTGGAATCATACCGGTGGTAGTTACATATCCGGTGGGAGCTATATATCTGGTGGGAGTTATATATCCGGTGGAAGTTATATATCCGGTGAGAGCTATATATCTGGTAGGAGTTATATATCCTGTGGGAGCTATATATCTGGCGGTAGTAATCTATCCGGTGGGAGCTATATATCTGGTGGGAGTTATCTATCTGGTGGGAGTTATTTATCCGGTGGGAGTTATATATCTGCAGTGATTTATCTATCCGGTGGGAGCTATATATCTGTTGGGAGTTATCTATCCGGTGGAAGCTATATATCTGGTGGAAGTTATCTTTCCGTTGGGAGCTATATATCTGGTTGTAGTTATCTATCCGGTGGGAGCTTTATATCTGGTGGGAGTTATATATCCGGTTGGAGTTATATATCCGGTTGAAGTAATATATCCGGTGGGAGTTATATATCTGGTGGGAGTTATATATCCGATGAGAGCTATATATCTGATGGGAGTTATATATCCGGTGGGACATATATATTCAGTGGGCGTTACATAGTGCGTTACAATACTGAGAGAAAGTATTTGTATTTAAACAGTTTCATTCTAACTTTTTTTACTAAGTATAAGATATAACAACATGTATGTAAGGAATCAGGTATAGAAACTTTATATGCAAGAGCAGATTAAACAGATTGATGCCCCCCGAATAATTTTTGGACACAGAAAAGTAGTTTCAAAGTTATGTCCCGTACAAAGTTTAAAGAGTTTTAAAGAACATCATGTCGTTAGAATTTTCATTTTTGCCCCTGTACTTAAATTTCCCATTTTCTTGATTAATTACACAATTTTTTTTACTGAGATATACAGAGACATGTTAAATTGTAGCAAGAAAGGTTTACATAGCGCGTTCCTGGACCATTCTATTTGAAAGACCCTGATAACAATATGTACGAACTATTCAAAACGACCTGGGGCACAGTATCAAGTTATTGTGTGACCCGGAATTGATCTATACAAGGATAGGGCATATCAAGTGTACGAACAAGGAATTAACCATACCTAGTATTTACAGCCAGTATGTTTGTCAATGACAACACCCCGTCACTGTTTCCGCAATCCATTTTATATTCATGATCATCGTCAATATCTTCGTCTTGTATGTTCCTATCATAGTCCAGGCAGACTTCCTGTGTCACATGATGAAAATACACAAGAAAACAATCAGAGAAAGAAAATAATGTGTTTATCTTTTTCGCGCAAAAATTACAAATTGATGGATAACGTCCCTTATTTGTAGTCTTATGTATCGATAGCAAAAGGTCTTTAATTTTCCAAAAGATAGATTGATACATGTTTTATTCGTGGAGGTAGTACAGCCAAATTCTTTCAAAATTCTTGCAGAAGAAAAAAAAACACACACACAAAGAACACATTTGTACTTTCTATAATATTTACATAGAAAAAGAACACGTTCATTTTATAATATAGCAGAAAAAATAACAAATAACTTCTATAATTTATCAGAAAAAAGAACTAATAAATTCTATAATCTAGCACAAAAAAAAATCTATGATTTAGCACAGAAAAGAACAAATCAATTCAACGGTTAAGCAAAAGAAAAAACAGAACAAAGAAATTCTTTGTATTTGAGAAGTTTGTAGTGAGCAGGGCACTTAGCAAAAAGGCATTTCAATTTATAAAGGGAAGTCAATGATCTGCTGTAATGCTCCGCTGTTTTGGGCATCTAACGGGGCATTCCGAAATATCGTGTAAAAATGCTCTGCTGCAATACTCAGCTGTTTTGGCAATCTAGAAGAGCATTCCTAGCTATATTAAAAATGCTCTGCTTGAACACTCAGCTTGCTAGGCAATCTAGCAGTGCATTACTAAATAAAGTGTAAAAATGCTCTGCTGGAATGCTCAGCTGGCTAGCTAAGCTGGCTAGTCAATGTAGCTGGGCGTTACTAAATATAGTGTAAAAATGCTTTACTGGAATGCTAAGCTGAACAAGGCAATCTCGCAAGGCATAACTAAATATAATGTAAAATGCTCTGCTGGAATGCTAAGCTGGCAAGGCAATCTAGCAGCGCTGTACTAAATAAAGTGTAAAATGCTCTGCTGGAATGCTTAGCTGGCTAGACAATTTAGCA